CTCTAGGTTTCTTCCTAGGTTTTGCCTTTCTAGGGAGTTTTTCCTAGCCACCGTGCTTCTACACCTGCATTACTAGCTGTTTGGGGTTTTAGGCTGGGTTTCTGTACAGCACTTCGAGATATTAGCTGATGTAAGAAGGGCTATATAAAATAAAATTGATTGATTGATTGATCATGATTGAGAACAACAGAGGACAAATCACGCTCCACAGCGGTGTACCATTATCCACCAAGTAGCTGCCTGATAAAGACTTCCCCACCCTCACCTGGATAGGGTCTTAAATCAAGTTATTCCAGTGCTGAACCTAAAACATGATTTTTTTGCACTGTTCAGGGAAAACGGTTTAAAAATATGTTTCAGATTTGTATTAGACAAACTGTGTCTCCCTTCATATGCCGAAATAGTTGTATTGTGGATTTTGCCTAAAACATGATTTTTTTGACAATGTTAATGGAAAAACAGCTTAAAAAATTATTTCAAACTTTAAAACCCTTGCATATTGTATTCTACATCTGTCCTTCCATTGCTAAACGTAAAACAATGATTGTAGACCCTGTTCATGCAAAATGGTTAAAAAATATGTTTCACGTTTGTTATACAGAAACAATGTCTCCTGTCATATGCTGAAGTAGTTGCATTGTGGATTTAGCCTAAAACATGATTTTAGACCATGTTCATGTAAAAAAGCTTAAAACGTTATTTCAAGCATGAAAAATATTACATACTGTAGCTTAAATTAAGTAATTCCAGTGCTGAACCTAAAACATTATTTTTTTGCACTGTTCAGGGAAAACGGTTAAAAAATATGTTTCAGATTTGTATTAGACAAACTGTCTGCCTTAATATGCTGAACTAGTTGCATTGTGGATTTTGCCTAAAACATGATTTTAGACCATGTTCATGTAAAACAGCTTAAAAATTTATTTTAAACTTAAACGTCTTACAAACTGTACATTAAATCAAGTCATACCATTGCTGAACCTAAAACAATGATTTTAGACCCTGTTCATGCAAAATGGTTAAAAAATATGTTTCTCGTTTGTTATACAGAAAAGGTGTCTACTGTCATATGCTGAACTAGTTGCATTATGGATTTTGACTAAAACATGATTTTAGACAATGTTAATAGAAAACAGCTTAAAAATTTATTTCAAGCTTAAAAATGTTACAAACTGTATATTAAATCAAGTCATTCCAGTGCTTAACCTAAAACAATGATTTTAGACCCTGTTCATGCAAAATGGTTAAAAAACTTATTTCATGTTTTTTATACATAAACAGTGTCAACTGTCATATGCTGAACTAGTTGCATTGTGGATTTTGCCTAAAACATATTTTAGACCATGTTCATGTTAAAAAGCTTAAAACCTAATTTCAAGCTTGAAAAATATTACATACTGTATCTTAAATCAAGTCATTCCAGCGCTGAACCTAAATGATGATTTTTTTTGCACTGTTCAGGGAAAACAGTTAAACAATATGTTTCAGATTTTTATTAGACAAACTGTCTCCCTTCATATGCTGAACTAGTTGCATTGTGAATTTTGCCTAAAATATGATTTTACACAATGTTAATGGAAAACAGCTTTAAAAAAATCGAACTTTAAAACCCTTGCATATTGTATTCTACATCTGTCCTTCCAGTGCTAAATGTAAAACAATGATTTTAGACCCTGTTCATGCAAAATGGTAAAACAATATGTTTCACATTTGTTAAACAGAAATGATGACTCCTGTCATATGCTGAACTAGTTGCATTATGGATTTAGCCTAAAACATGATTCTAGACCATGTTAATGGAAAACAGCTTAAAAAGTTATTTCAAACTTGAAAAAACTTACAAATTTTATATTAAATCAAGTAATTCCAGTGCTGAACCTAAAACAATGATTTTAGACCGTGTTCATTCAAAATTGTTAAAAAATATGTTTCTCGTTTGTTATACAGAAAAAGTGTCATCTGTCATATGCTGAACTAGTTGCATTGTGAATTTTGCCTAAAACATGATTTTAGACCATGTTCATGTAAAAAAGCTTAAAACATTATTTCAAGCTTGAAAAATATTACATACTGTATCTTAGATCAAGTCATTCCAGTGCTGATCCTAAAACAATAATTTTAGACACTGTTCATGCAAAATGGATAAAAAGCATATTTCAGGTTTTTTTTTATACAGAAATGGTGTCTACTGTCATATGCTGAACTAGTTGCATTGTGGATTTTGCCTAAAACATGATTTTAGACCATGTTCATGTCAAAAAGCTCAAACGTTATTTCAAGCTTGAAAAATATTACATACTCTATCATAAATCAAGTCATTCCAGTGCTGAACCTAAAACATGATTTTTTGCACTGTTCAGCGAGAATGGTTTAAAAATATGTTTCAGATTTGTATTAGACAAACTGTGTCTCCCTTCATATGCCGAACTAGTTGCATTGTGGATTTTGCCCAAAACATGATTTTAGACAATGTTAATGGCAAACAGCTTAAAAAACAAATGCAAATTTAAAACCTTTGTATATTGTATTCTACATCTGTCCTTCCAGTGCTGAACGTACATTTTTATTTTATTTTAGACCCTGTTCATGCAAAATGGATAAAAAATATGTTTCACGTTCGTTATAAAGAAACTGTGTCTCCCTTCATATGCCAAACTAGTTGCATTGTGGATTTTGCCTAAAACTTGATTTTAGACAATGTTAATGGAAAACAGCTTAAAAAAATTCTAACTTTAAAACCCCTGCATAATGGATTCTACATCTGCCCTTCCAGTGCTAAAGGAAAAACAATGATTTTATACACTGTTCATGCAAAAAGTCTATATCAGGCAGCTACTTGGTGGATAATGGTACACCGCTGTGGAGCGTGATTTCTCCTCTGTTGTTCTCAATCATGATCAATGATGTTTGTGAATTTAGCCTAAAACATGATTTTAGACCATGTTCATGTAAAACATCTTAAAACGTTATTTCAAGCTTGAAAGATATTACATACTGTATCTTAAGTCAAGTCATTCCAGTGCTGAACTTAAAACATTATTCTTTGCACTGTTCAGCGAGAATGGTTTAAAAATATGTTTCAGATTTGTATTAGACAATGTCACGCCCTGGCTCTGGGGACTCTCATATGTTGAGCCAGGGTGTGAGTTTCTATGTTTTTTGTTCTAGGTTGTGTTGCATCTAGTTTGGTATTTCTATGTTGGCCAGGGTGGTTCCCAATCAGAGACGGCTGTAGCTCGTTGTCTCTGATTGGGAGCCTTACTTAGGTAGCCATTTGGCATTTGTTTAATGTGGTATCTTGTTCCGTATGGTTTGTCTTGTAACCAAGGACTTCACGTTTCGTATCGTTTGTTGTTTTGTTCGTGTGGTAACTCTAAAATAAAGTATGTTCACATTCGATGCTGCGCATTTGTCCACTTCCTCCAGCGATTGTGACAGAAGATACCACCACGACTGGGTCAAGCAGAGTGATGAGGAGAGAGGTTGGAATTGGGCGCAGTGGAGTGGGCGAGAACCATGGAGGCCTGGTCCACGGGGGAGAGAAAAGCCCATAATTTTTTTTTTGGGGGGGGGGGGCTCACGCCGTGGACGACGGGGCAGCAGGAGTACGGGAAAGAGTGGTTCAGAGGGTTGGCAGAGGAGGCCGCCAGGTTACGGGAGTTACTGGACACCAGGGGGAAGGAGAATGTAGAGGCACGGCAAGAAGTACTGGGGTGTGTTGCCAGCCCGGTTCGGCCCGTTCCTGCTCCCCGCACCAAGCCAGTGGTGCGCGTCGCCAGCCCGGTCCGGCCCGTTCCTGCTCCCCGCACCAAGTCAGTGGTGCGCGTCGCCAGCCCGGTCCGGCCCGTTCCTGCTCCCCGCACTAAACCTGTGGTGCGCGTCGTCAGCCCGGTCCGGCCCGTTCCTGCTCCCCGCACCAAGCCAGTGGTGCGCGTCGTCAGCCCGGCCCGGCCTGTTCTTGATCCCCGCACCAAGCCAGTGGTGCGCGTCGCCAGCCCGGTCCGGCCTGTTCCTGATCCCCGCACCAAGCCAGTGGTGCGCGTCGTCTGTCCGGCACAGCCCGTGCCTTTTCCACCGGTGCCTGGTCCGGCACTGGTCAGCTGCTCCACTCCGGAGCTAGAGCAATCCGCTCCACAAGTATTCAGTCCAGCTCCGGCCAGCAGGGCCAGACCGGACCAGGGGCGCTTTGGGGGGTTAGAGAGGGAGTGGGGGTCATGCCCGGAACCGGATCCGCCGCTGAGGTGGAGTGCCCACCCGGTCCCTCCCCTGTTGTGTTTGGTTTGGGGGGGGGGGGGGTACTGTCACGCCTTGGCTCTGGGGACTCTCGTATGTTGAGCCAGGGTGTGAGTTTCTATGTTTTTTGTTCTAGGTTGTGTTGCTTCTAGTTTGGTATTTCTATGTTGGCCAGGGTGGTTCCCAATCAGAGACGGCTGTAGCTCGTTGTCTCTGATTGGGAGCCATACTTAGGTAGCCGTTTGGCATTTGTTTAATGTGGTATCTTGTTCCGTATGGTTTGTCTTGTAACCAAGGACTTCACGTTTCGTATCGTTTGTTGTTTTGTTCATGTGGTGACTCTAAAATAAAGAATGTTCACATTCCACGCTGCGCATTGGTCCACTTCCTCCAGCGATCGTGACAGACAAACTGTGTCTCCCTTCATATGCCGAACTAGTTGCATTGTGGATTTTGCCTAAAACATGATTTTAGACAATGTGAAAGTAAAACACCTTAAATGTGTGTCTTTCCACACAGAAACACACGAAATCTGCTGGAATACATTATGCTTCCTGTGGCTTTTTCGAGCACGGTTATATGTCAGACATTTAAACGGCTAGGGATAGTGGAAAGCAAACATCACCCCCTTCATCTTCCTGAAAAAAATAACACACAAACACAGACATTCTTTCAATGTTGGGAACACATTTTACATGAACATTTAAATCAAGCTGGATTACAAGATGCCCTTAATATTTTAAAATCAGAATGTAGTGAACAGGCTGATGCGCAAAGGCAACTACGCTGAGCGTGTGGGCGCTGTCGCACGAGTCTACCTGGCCGGCGTGCTCGATTACCTGATTGCTGAGATCCTGGAGTTGGCCGGAGACACTGCCCGTGAAAACAAGAAGACTCACATCATCCCCTGTCACCTGCAGCTGGCCTTCCGTAACGACGAGGACCCAACATCCGGGCGGTGCTACTCCCCAAGAAGACCGAGAATGCCGTCAAAGCCAAGTAAATTCACTACTGTGGCTTCACCTTGACTACTCAACCCCCAAAGGCTATTTTAAGAGCCAACCAATTGAGTGGGTGTATACACAAAGAACCAGACACCTGGATAGTTCCCGTTGAGGTGCCCTCTGGAAGAGAAATTGTTTCTGACTGCAACAGTGTCAACCCCCTCTCCACTAAGCACCCCAGTTATTTTAGGGACACATATCACTTTTTAGAAAATATCAAACACATACACTGTAGCTGTTCCCTCGCAAACATATACACATATATACAGTATCTCACAAAAGTGAGTACACCCCTCACATTTTTGTAAATATTTGAGTATATCTTTTCATGTGAAAAAATGACACTTTGCTACAATGTAGAGTAGTGAATGTACAGCTTGTATAACAGTGTACATTTGCTGTCCCCTCAAAATAACTCAACACAGCCATTAATGTCTAAACCGCTGGCAACAAAAGTGAGTACACCCCTAAGTGAAAATGTCAAAATTGGGCCCAATTAGCCATTTTCCCTCCCCGGTGTCATGTGACTCGTTAGTGTTACAAGGTCTCAGGTGTGAATGGGGAGCAGGACTGTTAAATTTGGTGTTTCGCACTCACACACCCTCATACTGGTCACTGGAAGTTCAACATGGCACCTCATGGCAAAGAACTCTCTGAGTATTTGAAAAAAAGAATTGTTGCTCTACATAAAGATGGCCTGGGCTATAAGAAGATTGCCAAGACCCTGAAACTGAGCTGCAGCACGGAGGCCAAGACCATACAGCGGTTTAACAGGACAGGTTCCACTCAGAACAGGCCTCGCCATGGTTGACCAAAGAAGTTGAGTGAACGTGCTCAGCGTCATATCCAGAGGTTGTCTTTGGGAAATAGACATATGAGTGCTGCCAGCATTGCTGCAGCGTTTGAAGGGGTGGGGGGTCAGCCTGTCAGTGCTCAGATCATATGCTGCACACTGCATCAACTTGTTCTGCATGGCTGTCGTCCCAGAAGGAAGCCTCTTCTAAAGATGATGCACAAGAAAGCCCGCAAACCGTTTGCTGAAGACAAGCAGACTAAGGACATGGATTACTGGAACCATGTTATGTGGTCTGATGAGACCAAGATAAACTTATTTGGTTCAGATGGTGTCAAGGGTGTTTGGCGGCAACCAGGTGAGGAGAACAAAGACAAGTGTGTCTGGCCTACAGTCAAACATGGTGGTGGGAGTGTCAGGGTCTGGGGCTGCATGAGTGCTGCCGCACTGGGGAGCTACAGTTCATTGAGGGAACCATGAATGCCAACATGTACTGTGACATACTGAAGCAGAGCATGATCCCCTCCCTTCGGAGACTGTGCCACAGGGCAGTATTCCAACATGATAACGACCCCAATAACACCTCCAAGACGACCACTGCCTTGCTAAAGAAGCTGAGGGTAAAGGTGATGGACTGGCCGAGCATGTCTCCAGACCTAAACCCTATTGAGCATCTGTGGGGCATCCTCAAACGGAAGGTGGAGGAGTGCAAGGTCTCTAACATCCATCAGCTCCGTGATATCGAGTGGAAGAGGAATCCAGTGGCAACCTGTGAAGCTCTGGTGAACTCCATGCCCAAGAGGGTTAAGGCAGTGTTGGAAAATGATGATGGCCACACAAAATATTGACACTTTGGACCCAATTTGGACATTTTCACTTAGGGGTGTACTCACTTTTGTTGCCAGCGATTTAGACATTAATGGCTGTGTGTTGTGTTATTTTGAGGGGGCAGCAAATTTACACTGTTATACAAGCTGTACACTACTACTTTACATTGTAGCAAAGTGTAATTTCTTCAGTGTTGTCACATGAAAAGATATACTCATGTACCAAAATGTGAGGGGTGTACTCACTTTTGTGAGATACTGTGTGTGTATATATATATATATATATATATATATATATATATATATATATATATACAGTGAGGGGAAAAAAGTACTTGATCCCCTGCCGATTTTGTACGTTTGCCCACTGACAAAGACATGATCAGCGTATAATTTTAATGGTAGGTTTATTTGAACAGTGAGAGACAGAATAACAACAACAAAAAATCCAGAAAAACGCATGTCAAAAATGTTATGAATTGATTTGCTTTTTAATGAGGGAAATAAGTATTTGACCTGCAAAACATGACTCAGTACTTGGTTGCAAAACCCTTGTTGGCAATCACAGAGGTCAGACGTTTCTTGTAGTTGGCCACCAGGTTTTCACACATCTCAGGAGGGATTTTATCCCACTCCTATTTATAGATCTTCTCCAAGTCATTAAGACTCATGGGCGGTGCACAATTGGCCCAGCGTCGTCCAGGGTAGGGGAGGGAATGGCCGGCAGGGATATAGCTCAGTTGATAGAGCATGGCGTTTGCAACGCCAGGGTTTTGGGTTTGATTCCCAGAGGGCCAGTATAAATAAAAAATATATATATTATTCACTAACTGTAAGTCGCTCTGGATAAGAGCGTCTGCTAAATGACTAAAAATGTAAATGTAAATGTAAATTTAGGTTTTGAGCCTGACATTTGGCAACTCGAACCTTCAGCTCCCTCTACATATTTTCTATGTGATTAAGGTCTGGAGACTGGCTAGGCCACTTCAGGACCTTAATGTGCTTCTTCCACGACCCATTTTCAATGCCCTGGCTGAAGGAAGGAGGTTCTCACCCAAGATTTGACGGTACATGGCCCGTCCATCGTCCCTGTGATGCGGTGAAGTTGTCCTGTCCCCTTAGCAGAAAAACACCCCCAAAGCATAATTTTTCCACCTCCATGTTTGACGGAGGGGATGGTGTTCTTGTGGTCATAGGCAGTGTTGTGTCGAGAAAACGTTGCTAATTATGCTGTGAGAACAAGGAGATCCACTGACGCTGTACTTTGATCATAAAGGTTTATTCTATCAGAGTATTCCAGCTTCAATTTATGGATGTCTGCAGACACCCGGAGAACAGCCGACCCAAATTCAAACATGCTATTCTCTCCGTCCTTTGTCCCAAACCATAGTATATATCCTATGTAATCTGATATGGGTGTTTCCCCTACAGACCAATCCCAGTCTCCACACAACAGACTTCCTCTGTTCTATGGGTTGTCCCCATAAAACTGCTCTCCAGATGTCTCCCTGGGCCAAATCAACATTCTCTAAGCTACCATTTGAAAACATTAACAAAGTCATAATTCCTCAGATACTACAGCAGCATGCCTCCTTCTCCAAACACGGCGAGTTGAGTTGATGCAAAAGAGCTCGATGTTGATCTCATCTGACCACAATACTTTCAACCAGTTCTCCTCTGAATCATTCAGATGTTCATTGGCAAACTTCAGACGGGCCTTTATATGTGCTTTCTTGAGCAGGGGGACCTTGCGTGCGCTGCAGGATTTCATTCCTTCACGGCGTAGTGTGTTACCAATTGTTTTCTTGGTGACTATGGGCCCAGCTGCCTTGAGATCATTGACAAGATCCTCCCGTGTAGTTCTGGGCTGATTCCTCTACGTTCTCATGATCATTGCAACTCCACGAGGCGAGATCTTGCATGGAGCCCCAGACAGAGGGAGATTGACAGTTATTTTGTGTTTCTTCCATTTGCGAATAATCGCACCAACTGTTGTCACCTTCCCACCAAACTGCTTGGCGATGGTCTTGTAGCCCATTCCAGCCTTGTGTAGGTCTACAATCTTGTCCCTGACATTCTTGGAGAGCTCTTTGGTCTTGGCCATCGTGGAGAGTTTGGAATCTGATTGATTGATTGCTTCTGTGGACAGGTGTCTTTTATACAGGTAACAAGCTGAGATTATGAGCGCTCCCTTTAAGAGTGTGCTCCTAATCTCAGCTCGTTACCTGTATAAAAGAAACCTGGGAGCCAGAAATCTTTCTGATAGCGAGGGGGTCAAAAACGTATTTCCCTCATTAAAATTCGAATAAATTTATAACATTTTTGACATGCATTTTTCTTGATTTCTTTGTTGTTATTCTGTCTCTCACTTTTCAAATAAACCTACCATTAAAATTATAGACTGATCATTTCTTTGTCAGTGGGCAAACATACGAAATCAGCAGGGGATCAAATACTTTTTTTCCTCACTGTATATTCACCATTGATATAGATAGCTTATACACCAATATCAACACAGTAGTAGGGATAGAGGCATTTAGAACACTTTTCAATAGGTTTCCAGATAGGGATAGACCGGACAATGACATATTACAACTATTAGAGATTAGCCTGACGAGCAATGACTTCATGTTTAATGGCAGGCACTACTTACAGGTGGAGGGAACAGCTATGGGTAAGAAATTTGCACCTGCATATGCGAACATTTACATGGCTGAATGGGAGAGAGAGGTACTGGCAAAGTGCCCGTTCCAACCCACCTTCTATTTTAGACGACATCATAGGAGCTTGGCCCCATGACATCACACTTTTCACAGATTCCATTAATATTCTCAATAATCACCACGCATCAATTCAAGTTAAATACACAATAGATCCAATGGAAGTACATTTCTTGGATACAACAGCCTTCTTCAACCAAAACAATGCAACACAGAAAACATTACTCACCAAAGTATACTTTAAACCTACAGATACACATGCTCTACTCCATAAACTCAGCTACCATCCAAAACACACTTTCAAAGGTATAGCAAAATCACAATTAATTTGCTTCAATAGAATCTCCTCCCATCAACAGGACTTGGACCATGCCATCTCAACCTTATTTCATGTCCTTAGAGGGCGAAGTTACTCCAAGAGGTTTTTAAGAACAATCAAGAACAGCACATAGGCGGCTCTCCCTCCCATTCAGCCAACACAAGCATACAACACAAACCTATCCAATTCTCTGTTTGAACCCAACCCTACCCAACCCTGGCTTATCACCTTACCCAACCCTGTCCCATACCCCAACCAAGGTTCGCATCCCGCTCGCAACACCAATCCTAACCTTAAACCTTACCCTAACCAGGGTTCGCATCCCTCTGTGATGTATCATGACGGGTATGTTAATATTGTTCGAG